GTCCCCTCTGGGTGGCCACTTCCAGCGTCCTGGACATGTGCCATTCAGCCCCTTTCAGCGGCTCACCTTCGGGATGGGTCTTCCCCCCTGTTGGCTAACCCACATGCCAATCATCGGTGGGCACGCCCTCACAGGCCCAGGAAGTGGCTTTACCCATTTTTAGGTGTGTCTCTCAGTCCAGGCAAGTTGGCGACCAAGGTCAACATCACAGACCCCAAGGAGGGCCTGCTGGGGCCTTTCTGGAACCCCCACTTCCTTCCCAGGGGGGTTCAGAGATTTGGGGGGGCAGCTTCATATATTCTGGTCCTGGAGGTGGCTGTGTCCCGTCCCCCTTGCCCTTGGGACCAGATTGTCAGCGGCTCAGGGAGCTTTAATCTCTTAATTCTCTTTTCTTGCTTCTGATGCTTTGGTTTAATTTTTTTTTTTTTTTAAAAAGTAGATAATGACCTCATTTCTCTGTCCTTTCTCGTGGACCACCACTGGAGGAGAGAATCCTGGAACCCTGTTGACCTTAGGGGACACGCTGCCTTCTAAAGCCCCAGGGCTCGGGCCTCAAGCCTTTCTTGTTCTCCTCCCGTGACGGGAGGCTCACTGAGGACAGCTCCAGTTACCAGAAATTCTCCTTAAATGGAACCCAAACTGTGAAGCGCCCACAGGAAGCTGGCACCAGTTAGTGCCCAACAAATCAAGGAATTTGGGCTTCGAGAGGAGGCAGGGGTGTGGGCGATGGCTCAAGGGTCTGACCAAGGAGCCCAGGAGACCCCTTGAGAGTTGTCACCGGGCCCAGGTAAGCCGGGATGGGGCCTGGTGTTGGCTGGTGGTGGCCTTGGGGCTGGGCCCACATGAATGTTTCCTGGGGACCCACCGGCTCTGACCCACTGGCTCTGGGGTGGGATGGGGGAGGAGATGGAAACGGGGTTTGGGGGGTCGCTACTTGGGACAGCTGTTGGGTGGTGGGTTGGGCCACTGAAGAGTCAGAAAGGACATGCTGAGGTCATTCACACCATCCCTCTGCCTCTGTGCAGGCCTGGGACCCAACCTAGTGGCCGGTGCTGACCTGATTTTCACGGGCCTCCCAGGCTGGCCCGCCCGAGGGAAGGACGGGCAGATGCAGGGGATCGGGGACCCCTGGGCCATGGCCCCCAGGCTCCCTTCCTCATCAGAAGCAGCAGCGCCCTCCGGTGGGGAGAGGTGGTGAGGCTCATCCTCGCTGGGCCCATCCCTGCTCAGGAGGCCACCTGGAGGTGTCGGGGCGGGGAAGGGGAGGGAAGCGCACATCCCTGCAAGACTGTATCCCCCGCCATCTGCTTTCGGTTAGCAGCTCCTGGGGAGCCTAATTGGCAGATCAAACCATTTGATGTTCCATGTTAGATAAGTAGTGAGAAGGCCCCCTGGAGTCGGACACTTTTTGGATGGAGCCCAAGCCCTGCATCCGACCTGGGCCTGGGGTGCTAATGCGAACCAGATCCTCGCGCACAGAAGCGGTGGATATTAACAAGTGTCAGGAAGCTCCGGGGCGCGGGCGCAGGCAGCCCTGCCTTCTCCCCCTGCGCTGAGCAGGGCCAGGGTCTCCTGGAACGAAAGCTTGGGCCTTGAGGGGGAGCAGGGGCTCTCGGAGGGTGGCCCCTGACACCAGCTGTGCTGGGGACACCTGAGGCTCGCAGGTCCCGCCTGGGCGATGCGATGCAGTGGGGAGCTCTGAGCTCCACGTGGGCACGCTCTGTCCCGACTTTCTGTATGGCTGGTGGCAAGTCACGTGACTGAAGGGGCGGATGCTGTGTAGCTTGGGGCAAGTGGCTTTGCCTCTCTGGGAGCCTCAGCCTCTCCAGCTGGAAAATGGGGGTGGGGAACAACCCTGCTTCACTCGAGATGGCTAGATTTGGTTTGGGGCCCAGACCTGCTAGGACATCTTGCTCTGGACGTGATTCTTAACCAGTTGGACCTCACTAATGTCATCTGTGAGAAGGATTATAGGAGTCCCCCTTACCCTCAGTTTGGCTTTCCCAAGTCTCAGTTACTTGAGGTTTGCCATGTCCTGAAACTGCTAAGTGGGAAATTCCAGAAATAAACAATTCATGAATTTTAAATTCCACCTTGTTCTGAGCATTGTGCTGAAATCTCACCAGGAATAAGAATCGTGCTTTGTCCAGTGTGTCTGTGCTGTATATGCTACCCCCCTGTCACTTAGAGTCATCTTGACTATCAGATAAACGGTGAGTTCTTGTGTTCAAGTAACCCTTATTTTATGTAATGGTCCTAAGGAGCAAGAAGAGTCCTACTGTCACTCTGATATGTCCCACATGTCAAAAAGAAGCCATAAAGTGCTTCTTTTTAAGTGAAAAGGTGAAAGTTCTTGACTTTAGGAGGCAAGAAAAAAATGGTAGGCTTAAGTTGGTATGATCTATAGTCGGAACAGATAGGAAGAAATAATAGATTCATGATTCAATTCTATCTGCAGTTTCAAGCATCCACTGGGGGGGTCTTAGAATGTATCTACCCTGAATAAGGGGGGGGGCTACTTATCTTATCAGAGATGTTGAGAGGATTAAATGAGGTAATACATGGAACATGCTCAGAACTGTGCCTGCCCACGGTAAAGGCTATGTAAATGCTGGCTTTTGTATCAGTCAGTGTTTGATAGGTTATGCTGTTGTGACAAGTATCCCCTGAGTCTCTGTCATTTACAGAAACGATGGTGCGCTCTCCCTTGTTGTTAGGTGGGTGTGGGCTGCCTGTGACTCTCTTCCACACCTCTTTCCAAGATCCAGGCTGTAGGGCAGGGTCTGTCCCCGAACCACAGCCTGTCACCAGCACATTATACAGAGTCGCCCACAGCTGCCTTTGGAGGTGGCCTCTGAGGTGGACTCCTGGGCCCAGAGCACGTTCCCTGTGGCTGGGAAAGCCAGGCTCAGGGAGGCTCCTGGGCCCGTCTCTAGGCGCTGGTGGCTGGCCATGAGCCATGGTGGTAGCGGGTCAGGATCCCTGGGAGTGGCGAGTCTCCCGCCGCCCAGCACACCTCTAGCCCTGAGGCCTCAGGACGGCTTTGTCCCTGTCATTCACTGCCAGCGATTTGCAAAGACAAACAGCAATCACTATGTCACAGCCTGTGCCATTTATGGAGCGCGTCCTCGAGGCAGGAGCGTGTCCCTCGCCTCATACCCTCAGGACTTGTCCTGTGCTGCCCCTTCAGCAGTGGCTGGGGTCGGGATGGGGATCTGTCTGTCTGACTCTCAGACCAAAGTGGAAAGGAGCCCTCCACAGGGACGGTGGGGACAGTGTCCTCGTGGGCTTCATAAAGGTGCTGTGACAGTGGCCACTGCTGGGGCGCTGGCCCTGGGCTCAGACGGCAGGGAGGGGAGGCGCGAGAGGGCAGAGCTGCAGTGTCCACCCGGGCTGTCCCGTCATACAGTAGCCGTTTTCCCCAATCTTTACGACGACCTTGCAGGTGTGAACCGCTGTCGTGAACGTACCTATTTTCTGAAGAGGCCAATGAAGCCCAGAAAGGGGACTGACTTGTCCGGGAACATGGAACAGGCAGGTGACACAGTCAGCATTGGAACCCGGAGGGGCCACTGGTATTGGGGACGGTGAGCAGGGTGGCCACACTGTTGGCAAGATAGTGACATACCGTGAGTCAAAGAGAGCAGGGCACAGCCAAGTCCCCCCGGGATGTCTAACAGGGCAGTCAGCCTCGGCACCTCCACCCGGCCTCCATCTCTGCACCCACGGTGGCTGCTGCAGCTCCCGCCATCACATCTTCATTTCAGCCGTAGGAGGGGAGTGGGGAGGGCAGCATATGTCCCTTCCTTTTCAGGCGTGACTTGGAAATGACGGACATGTCATTGTTCAGAATCTAGCCCGGAGGCACAGCTTGCTATCACAGGAGGTGGGCATGAGGTCTTTGGTGGGCATCTGTGTGGACACTGTGAGGTGCCCTGGGACCCCACCCCGTGCAGGACTGAAGGGCACCTTCCCCTCGGCTCAGTCCCCCGCCTGGGCAGCCCGCGTGGGAGCCACGAGGCCTGGCCCCTCAGACGCGTTGCAGGACAACCGCGAGGAGCCTCCCAGTCCTCAGAGGCCCCGGGGGCGGCCAGGGCCCTTGCTTGGTGGCCCTGCAGCCCGCCTCTCCCCGGCCACTGCCTGCAAAGGTGCTGCCCCCAGGGCGCCCGTGTACCGTGTGGCGCCATGTGCCCAAGTGACCTTGAGGGCTCTGTCACTAAAGGCAGGGGGAGCGCCTGCGGGTGGACGGCAGCGTCTCTGCTTCGTCCTGGGGGGTCGTGGTGGTCACTGTGGGGTGTGACAGTGTCCATGGCCATGGGGAGGGTGGTCACGAGGCGGCTTGTCCTGCCGGGGTTGGCCACGGCCCTGGCAGCGGGGGATTCTGTGGCGGGACCCCCAGGGGCGCCACCCACCTGCTTTCCCTGCTGCGCCAGCTCCTGCAGGGGCGGCCCTGTCCCCTCCCCTGTCCCTCTCCCCTCCCCCGACCCTCTCCCCTCCCCGTCCCCTCTTCTCTGGACAATGTCAGCTTTCGCTGTGGTCCCTGTTCTCGTGGCCGCTGGTGCTGCCCTGGATGGGCCCCTGCTGCGCTTCTCAGCTCCGGTCCCAGTGCTGGTCTAGCCTCCGCCCTCCTAGCCCGGCCTCCCGGCTCGGACTCCCAGCTTGGCCTCCGGCTGATGGCCCCTCCACTCTCCCTGGGGCCGGTGCCCAGCCGCTGTCTCTGGAGCGCTCTGGGCCAGCGTGGGCTGTGGGGCTCCCGTTGCTCCGGCGCAGCACAACCTCGCTCTGCCTCAGCCGGGAGGCGGGAGCGGGATGCCGATGGTGCCGATGGTGCCGATGGTGACGGTGAGGACATTGTGTTGGTCTTGGAGGAGACGCTGCTGAGGTGCTCGTGATGGTGTTGGTGAAGGTGTTGTTGTTGGTTGTGTTGGTGATGGTGGTGTGGGTGTGGGTGCGGGTCACGGTGGTGTGGGTGTGTTGTAGTGATGGTGTTGGTGCGGGTGTCAGTGTGGGTCATGGTGCCCATGGTGTTGGTGATGGTGTGGGTGGTGGTGCTGATGGTGCTGGTGTTAGCGTGGGTCACGGTGGGCTCAGTGAATATTCGCTGCGTGTACCTCTGTGTGTTTTTGGACCCATGTTGTAGCTGAGCCTGACACTGCCAAACAGGTTCAAGGACACCACAGGGCTCCGGCCGGTGTTGGCAGTGGGAGCGAGTGGAGAGAGGCTGGGACTTGCAGCCAGCGTCCCAGAGTAAGTCTGGGTACAGCCGCTGGGGGGCTGGGAAGCTGGGCGCGTTAGTGCCCCTTCCTGGGCCTTGCTCTCCTCTGCTGTGGACGGGACCAGAGTGATCCATCCTGCAGGGACACGCCTCCAGGCCCCTTAATAGGAAGGAGCCTCCAGGGCCTGTCACAGCGGCTCTGGGTGCCGTGACGCAGTGCCACAGGCCGGCGGCTTAAAAGCAGCACAACTCATCTCTCACAGTCCGGGAGCCCGAGGTCTGGATCAGGGTGCTCGCGTGGCGGGGTTCCGGGGGGTCCTCTTCCAGGTGGCTCACCGCTGCCTTTTTGCTGGTCCTCACGGGGTGGAGGGAGCACGTGAGCCCGGGGGTCCCCCCACCAAGAGCACTAACCCCTCCCAGGCCTCGGAGGGCCAGACTCAGCCACTTCTGCGCCTCCCCTGGAAAGGGCATTCTTAACCCGGAGGACCAAGGAGCCACCGGGCAGCAGGCAAGAACCCTGGGCTGGGAACCAGAGGACCTGGCCTGACTCCGCGTTGGGCCGCTGGCTCCTGGGTCCTGGGCCCATCGCTCCTCCTCTCCGTGCCTCAGTTTCCCCGTCTGTGAAGTGGGCATGTGGGAACAGGGCCTCTCTGGGCTGCTTCCTCCTGCATTTGGTGGGAGTGCAGCCCATGGCCCTCAGCCCAGTGCCACCTGCCTGGCCCTGGCCCTGCTCACGTCCCTCATTCCTGAGCCCCGTCCGCCACAGCCCTGTTCACAGGTGGACGATACGTGCACAAGCGGCGTGGGCAGGAGCATGGCCCCACAGTGCAGGCTCTGCTGGGTGGGCCCGGGGAGGGCGGTGGCCCTGCAGCCCCCACCTCCCTCTGCCTGCTCTCAGCAGCCCACCTGTCGAAGCCCAGGAGGTCGGCCGGAGAGTGACAAATAAAACCAGGAACGCAGGCAAACACTTCCTTTAAGTCCCGTGACCGCTCCTAAGGCGACCAATGGAGCCTGCACTCCCGACCCTGGGCCTCGGTTTCCCCAGCTGTGAAAGACGAGTGGCTCCTGGCTCGGGTACGGAGGTTACACGTGTCCTGGTGACAGATCATTGAGGCCACGGGACAGGGTGCCCCGGAAAGCCCGTCTCAGGCCCTGAGAGCAGTTCCAGACGTGGCCAGCAGATGGTGCTGTTGGTCCCGTTCCTGGGCCTCCCGGGCTCCAGCCCCACTGCCTGGAAGTGCTCTGGACCCCGTGGGCAGCACACACGCGCGTGCAAACACACACCCACACACAGATGTGCAACCTCAGAGACACGCAGAGGTGCAAGCCGGCTGCTCTGCCCTTCCAGCCTGGCTGGGCTCACTGGTCACACCCGTGTGCACTGCTGTGCACCTCCAAGGCATGGGGACTGCGGGGCAGGTGTGAGAGAGCAGAGCGGACAGCTGTGAGCGTGTGACACCAGTGGCCTGTGGTGCCCGTGGTCTGCAGACCCTGAGAGCAGGTCTTGGTCCACACACCTGGGCTGCGTCCCTCTGGGCAGAACCCCGTGCTGTGTGTCCTGGGGCTCACGTGTGTCTCTGTGCACATGCGTCTCTGTGCGCATGCGCCATGCATCTTTGGTGGTAACCGTGAACTTGGGGCAGCTCTGGGCTGGGTCTTTAACGAAGGTCCACCCCGGAGCCCCATCCCTAAATTGCCTCCTCCTCAAAAGGCCAGAGGGGCTGTGCTGGCCAGTGTCCCACCTGAGGCCCAGCACAAAGGCAGGCAGGTGTGGGGGGCAAGGGTGGCAGGAGGCCGAGGGTCCCCGACTCCTGGTGGAAGATCCCGCATGGGCG